TTGTGGGGGTGGAGTGGGGAATGGGATCAAAAACGAGGGGGGAGGATGGGGAGGGAAGTGCACAGGACTATGGTGATGGCACATGGGTGACTCGATGATGGGAAACCCACAGGGATTACAATTGAGATAAAAACAAAAAAGTGTACAAAATGATGTAAAATAAACTGTTATATTATTAAAAAAGAAAAAAAACCCACCATAACAAACTTGTGTACATGGCTTGGCCAATTGCTCCTTGAAGTAATAAAATTAGATTTTGGAAGTCTAAAAAAAAAAAAAAGGGGGTTGTTCCCATTTTCTGTAGCGAATTCAGTACAGGAAATTACTAAATTCTAAGCTTGATGGGCAAGCCATGGTATTTTCTTTCCTTCAGGGTACATCTCCAAAACTATGAAGTGTCTGAAACTCATGTAAATGGCACACAAAGAAGATGCCAACTTGGAAAGAGAGGATGCCAGCCAAGGTTTTCTAAATAATTTTTCAAAGAGTAATTTGCATGTGGGTTCAACTAACATGCAAGATTTAAATTCAAATCCAGCAAACATTTATCAAACTCCCAGTATGCTTCACTAAGGTTCACACATAGACAGTTCCAAAATAAATAACTCCATTAATAAATATCAAACATGGTTTTACTGTTTTCTAAAGTAATTTTACTAATTTCTAAAATCTGTAAGAAAGAACAAATTTCCTGCACTCTCCATTAAGTTATAGATAGGTAGCTTAACAGCAGAAAAAAAATATTCAGCTATCTGTATTTTTTTTTTTGGTTTGAACTTTCTTTGCTCTTTTTCAGTGCTTCTTATGTATATTTTACTATGGACAAGTTAAAGAATTTTCAGAGGTTATTTTAACTATAATGATTTTCACTTCTGCTGCTTTAGAATTTAATACCTACTTAAGAAGTGACTTGAGTGGGCTTATGTTTATTAATTTTTTTTAAAAAGTCTGAATACTATTGTATTGTGTGTATGTATATCTAATCCACATTTTTTCATCCATTCACATAGTAACAGATATTTAAATTGTTTCCTTTATTTTGGTTATTGTGATAATGCTATAGTGAACATAGGAGTGTAGATAACTCTCTAACACACAGATTTCATATCCTTTGGAAATATATTGCTTTCTGCCTCTTCTTCCCTGATCCTTCTACCCACTATTCAAGAACTCTTTCATTGGCCTCTTATATTTTCTTTGTCATTATTATTCTATTTAAAATATCACATTTGCCATTTTAGATTATAAAATATAAAATTAGGAAAAAGAGTATTCAAGATAAAATTGAACACAAATTATGAAAGAGGCTATGAGGATAAAGAATGTTTTTAAAAGCACGTGATCCAGCTACATAGACACACATGGGATTCTGTAATGATTTTGGCTAATCCATGGCGGTTCATTCTATTTCTTTTCTTCTTTCATGAGGAACCTAAGTATTTTCTTAAACTCTTTCTCAATACAGTACTCTAGACAGCATTGCCAACTAATCAAATTGGACCTTAAAATGAAACCTTGTCCACTTAAGAGCTATTAGTAAAAACCCATCTTTTCTATAATGGAGATATTAAATCATTTAGAA